CCCCCTGTATCATGTAGAGAAGTTCCATTATTTGGGAGTGAGAAACTGTCCATCTGCTGCACAGCTTATTTGTGTTTTTTAACAATAGACACCTTATGGGGAGCTGTGGTGCCTGGTTACAAACTGCATTTGGAGAGCGAGAGGAGCTCTGTGAAGGTGGGGACTTGAGTTACAGAAGGAGCCTGAGGTGTCCTACATCACGTGTCTGTGCTGGAGATTTTATTGTGCTGTTTAGCACTGCCCAGTGTCTACATTGCATATTTCCAGGAGATGTCACCTGAGTTGCTTGGCTCATGACAAAACACTGCACCCTGTGAGTGCTGAGGGCACCTGCCTGCCCCTCTCACCCTCCATGGGGACAGACCTTGGCACCTCCCTTCCAATGACCAAGTCCATTTGTTAAATAAGAAATATTGCTGGCTGTCTCTGCGTGGCCTGAGGGCTGCCTCCATCTGAAATCCCACAGGGAAGGTGTCATTGCAGGGAGCATTCTGTCTGTTGTGTTCTCCAACAGCTCAGCAGAAGCAGAGCCCTGCAGTGCTCCCCAGGAGTGGGCCATGGTGGGTGCTGTGCTGTGGGCATGGGCAAGAGCCAGAGAGAGGGAAATTTGCAGGCTGGATTTGAGCCTAAGCTGTGATTTTATTTGAATTTTTACCCCCCAAAAATCTGTTCTTTACAAAAATTACATCTTTGTCTTTGGCTTGCTCATCAAGTAATTTGACAAAGCTTGCAGATTCCTGTGACATTTATAGTTCAAATTTTAATGTCCCTTGTCTTGTATGTTTGAAGCACCTGCTTGTACTGCTTTTCTTCCAAGATACTGAACTTCTCTATGCTGAAAGAATTCTCCTTATTCTGGGGAGCAGAAGGATTTGGGGTCTGTGCCCTGCTTTGCTTGAGGCCTCAGCAGCCTCTGTGCTTCAGTGTCTTCAGTCTCCCAAGAAAGTCTGATACAATCAATCAAAAGACAATTTCCATTTACCTGTATGCTGTTGGTTGTTTGCAGGACAGGAAGGTTGTGTAAGGAGGCCTTGAGTTTGTGAACTGATCTGGAAGAGTTTCTTTTTAATTTTGAACACTGAATTGCTTTAATTAATTAATGGCTAAATATATTGGTTTAAGATAACAAAAGGCTGTCTGGACAAAACAGGGAAGGGAAAGAAGGGCTCAAGATGAGCCACCTCTTTGCTATCACTTAAGAGTTATTAAGGGATGTCACCAGAGCTATTAGCAGAGAAGGTTTTAACTTGACTATTGTAATTTAGCTCCTGAGGCTTGGAATGAAGGAGGAGAGCAGAAGGATTGATCTGGAAAGGAACACTTTGGTGTTGTGTGGGAAAAGCACTTGTTGCCCAGGAGGTATGGGATGCCCTTGGAGAGGGATACCCAGAGTTAGAGTGGATTTGGTTGATAATGTGGAGCTCCAACCTGTACTTGCTTCCTTCTCCCCTGTCTCTTTCTGGAATCTTGCTCTTAGGGCTAAAATTGAGCACGGTGCTGAGTCCTGGGCTCACCCCGTCACTGGGGTGACTTGTGACTGCAGGCTTTTCCTGGGAGCTGGATCCTGTCAGACCTGCTCTGTAAGTGTGGCAGGGCTACAAACTGCTCTGGTCCAGGACTGCTCTAAAAATGGAAAAATTGCTTAATTTTGGGAAGGTAAGGCCTGAGACCTGGAGGGCCCTGTGAAGAAAGAGCTGCATGGCCACCCCTGTAATTAGGAGAGCTCAATCATGTCAATTACACTGGCTGGATGTGCAGAGTTGTTTGGTTTATAATAGTCATTTATCTCCTATTGCAGAGAGCAGAGGGTGGTAAGTAGTGTGGTGTAAGTCACACTGAGGAGTGAAATCAAGCAGGCAGGGATGTGTGAGCAGAAGCCTTTAGATGATAACTGGAGCCTCTGAGGGCTGACCCTTGTGACTGTCCCTGCTGTGTCTGCAGCTGGGGCTATGCAGTTACAGCTAGGCAAAGACCTAAAAAACCCCAAATATGTATTTAAAAATAGACTGATCTCAAGGCCTTGAGTGTGTGTGCCCTAAGGCATCTCTGTCATTAGGGTCACACTTGGTTGTGGGCTGCCCTGATGCTGTGCCTGTGGCTGGCAGAAGGGTGAGTGCAGGGTGTGCTGCTTGGGTTCAGCTGCCTGCACATTGCCAGACTGCAGGGAGTTCACCTCTGCAAGTGGCATTTTCCCCAGATTGCTGCTCTGCAACTGATCTTGGGGGTTTTGGGGCCAGGGAGGACGGGAGCACTGTCTCTTGAGGGAGGAGTAGGACAGAGCCAGTGGTGCTGTGAGCTGGGGGTGCCTCTGGACAGCTGCTCTGTCCCTATCTCCTGGGGTTGTCTGTGTCAAAGAACGTGAACTCAAGGCAGATTTGCTTTGTCATCCTGACTTTGGCTTTTGCCACTGTGAATTTCTCTTCAATTTCTGGAAGCTTCTTTTTAGTTCTCTACTGGGAAGTCCAAGAGGCATTGAAACACATGGAAGGGCTCACCCCGAACATCCCCCATCACACAGATCATGCGGTGGGAGTGGGGAGGTGGGTTTGGGAATATTTGATCACAAATGGGGCAAATCCATTTGTGTTTCCAGCATGTGTTGTTCTTTAGTTAGTTTTTAACTCGATGCTGCAGAGGAGTGTTGTTGTTTCCCAATGGCAAAGCGCACTGAAATATGACCCCGGGATGGGAGTGCTGGCCCCAGGCCTGTGTGCACAAATAGCCCACTACCTTCTGAGGCCTGTTTGCAGCCCAGCAAACAAACACAGCCAGGCTGCCTTGCAAAGAGTTGCAGTAGAAATATGCCCCTCAGAGCTTTTATTTTTCCCTCTCAGTGTCAATAAAATGTCAGTACCACTGACTCCAGAACGATCGCTCACAAGGTGTTGTGGTCCATCTGAAAATGTAGTTATGTAGTAGTGGATTAGGAGAGAAAGAGCTGCATTGCTGTCTTTTGTATCTCCTACAATACCTTTTGCCTTGGATTGCTGTACTACAGGAAGAAATCCTGGTGCAAACTAAGCTCCAGCTCATGGTGTTAGCTGGGTGAGCGAGCAGGAGTCTCTTGGCACAGCCCTGGTGTGAGTTATGTAAATCTTGTGCAGTGTATAAGCAACAGGCGGTTGGTGACGTAAAACTGAGCATTTGTCTCTGTTTACTGGCTAATGTGACATGGCCCCTTCCTGCAGCATTTGACTGAGCTGGCGGGATTAGAGCCCTGACACTCCTGAGTAGAAAACGCCTCAGGCTGAATAATGGTTTCTGCTCTGGAATTCAGAGTTGTGGCCACAGCACGGGACCGGTGGCTCCTGTGTTGGACCAAAGTCCGCTCGGCACGGATGGCAAAGGTCTGGCTGTGACGCTGGGGCTGCTGAATTGCTGATCTATCCCTGTGGCCATGTTGTGCAGGACATTCCTCCAGTGCCTCCTTAGCAGAATGTCAGCAACTCCTGTGACTCACACAGTGATTATCTGCTGGCTGCTGGTGCTGGGATGGATGGATTGATTGCAAAACTGATGGGGCTCTTTGGGTCCTCTCCCAGTGCCCCCACTGCAGCTCTACCCCCTTGCTGTTGCCCCCCAGTCAGCTGCTGCACTTTGGGTCCCCTGAGTTTTCTGTGAGGAGAAAATGACACCATGCAGTTCAGATTTTATCCAGAATGTGTCTGATTTGAATGTTTTTTGCCATGAACACTGTAGGAATTGAACAGGAGGCAGTTTCTTTACTCACTGTTTCAAGCCTCTTTCCAGCTGGCAAGCAGCCCCACAAAGCCCTGTGTTTGCTCTTGCTCAGGGTCACGCTGCAAATGTTTCTCTTGCTTTCACCTTGGCTGTCTGACTCGGACACATGACACCCCACCACTATCCAGCCCCTCAATATGTCACTGTGCCCACATAGAGCAGCTCCTGCAGGGCTTTGGTTTTAGGTGGTGGTTCCCAGTTCCTGAAGTCTTGGTTTTGGGTTTTTTTTTTCTATCCTGCTCAGAAAAGCAACACAGATTTCTGCAGTCATGAATAAAAAAAGCACTTGTTATGCCCATTGCGTTTGGGGAGATTTTACTCATCTCCATTTTCACAGCACCCACTCACAACATGTAAATCAGGGCCATAACCTCTCAGACATGTATAAACAGAGGAATTACGTTACTTGCCAAACACTTACATAATGACTTAATAGTATATCGTGGAACTGAGCTAAGGCTCATGAATCCTCTTCCTGCCTGCCTGTTCTTCTTCTCACATTAATTATCATGAGTTGTAGCTACACCATGGCTCAGGAATCAATAGCATTGTGGCTTTCTGAATGTCCTTAATATATCACAGACTTGCACTGTCATTTATCTTTATTCAGTGAGAACTTTTGACTCAGGTGGTTTGTAAGTTGCTGCAAGTTGTGACTACCGAGAGCTGAACAGGCACTTTATTGATAAATAAACAGTTTGTACCTGATGCTGTGTTTCAAAAACTCCAGCAAGGCTGGAGTTATTATCTGTAGCTACTGGTGCCCTTTGGCCCTGAGAGTTATCTTCATGTTTTGCTCCTCTTGTGGTCCTTTTGAACCTTGTGTGCCAAAATAAAATGGAGAGGTTTGGTTGGTCCTTTTGAAATTAGCTGAGGTAACAAGGCTGGTGTGAAGAAATTGCCCAGTGTTTGTGACATAGCTCTTCTCTTGGTGTCACCTGAACTGTTCAGCAAGTTCATAAAGAACTGTTGGAGTAGAGGCCTCCAAGACTTCTTAAGTTCCAAAGTTTCCAGGGAAAGTAGAAGCAGAGTAGAAAAGAGATCTAAGGCAGTGTCCCTGGCAAGAAGTGCCGTATTTTGAGCTCTGTTATCTTAAAGAATCCATATGTAATAGAGATAAAAGCTTTTAAAAACACATGAGCAGCAGAGTTATTACAGTCTGGATATTTTTGCTGACCTGTTTAGGATGACATATGACCTGTGCAAAGGGCCTGACCCAACTGTACTTCAGGTTGTAATGTGCTTTTTTTCCTTTTCAGGAATTTACAAGCTGCCATTGGAGCCTACTATGATTTTGAGAGTCCAAATATCAATGTCCCCTCCATGTCATTTGTGGAAGATGTCACCATAGGTGAAGGAGAGTCCATCCCTCCTGATACCCAGTTTACAAAAACATGGAGGATACAGAATACAGGTGAGGCCTTTTAGCTGCAGGTGCTGGGATCCAATGGGAGGGATGCTGCCTTGAGGCAGGAAGCTTGTGTGCACTCACCTGGGCTGGAGCCACCCTGAGGTGCTGCCAGCCCATGCAAGTTCCCTTCCTGGGTTGGCACAAACATTTTGTGGTGGGATGGGCAGCTAGGTCAGGTCACCAGTCTTGTTCCTTGTGCCACCACACAAACAAACTCTAGGAAACTTGTAGAGGCAGTGACACAAGGGTCATGTGGCAGGTCCACTTTGGGCAGAATTGCCTTTTCATGTTGTGAGAGGATGCAGGGCTGGAGAGACCACATTCCAGTTTGAAATAAGTCAAAGCAGTGCCTGGGATCCAGGAAGTGAGGCTGGGCAAAGTGCATTCCCAGTGCCTGATCTGGTGGGATGCAGTCAGAGAGGAAAATGAGATCCGTGGATGTGAAGGAAGCCCTTGTCCTCAAGCAGTGCAGCGAGGGGATGTTGCATGAACATTTAAAAGTGTGTCTGAATTTAATTGACCTGCTTGTACTTGTGTGGGGAGAACAATCTCACACCAAGGTTTGGTGCTGGGAGTCATCAGGTTCAGCTCTCTCAGTATTTCTGCTTGTGAATTGCTGCAGTACTTGGACAGAATATCCACTCTAAAACCACACTAAAAATCTAAGGGTATTTCATTAGTGTGTTTAAGAACACTGATTTCTAGAGAATGTGTTCTAGAGGAAGGATTTAATATTTCAGTGTACTTTTTCTGCCTCCTTCTGTTTGAAAGTACAATGGAAGGGTGAAACATGGAACTTGCTTGAACTCCTGTACTGTGAAAAGTTGACTGGCAATTTTTTTTATAACTGTCCCAAATACATCTCTTACAAATCTAGTAAGTGTGATAGGTCTTGTTTCTCCACTCTTAGTATCTCAATTTGTGTGTGTTATGACTACACCTCTATCTTGGGCTGACTCCTCCCTTCCTTGTTCCTCTGATGTGCCATTTCCTGGATGCAAATTCAGCCTTAATTTAGGATCCTAGTTCAGGGGATGTTTCATTGTTTTTAGAATGTTTCACCTTCTGAAATCCCTGGCTTTCTAAAATGGGGGACAGGAGCTCATCTTGATTTAGGATTTCCTGTTTTGGCCTCTGTGTGGTTTGAACCTGGCTTGTCAGACCATCCATCCATGCCCTAACAGTGGTGCTGGAGGCCAGGCCTTGGTACAACCACTCTGCCGAGGGTTAGTGAAGTGCAGCTTCACATGCTGGTTATGACTGTGCAGTGTGAGGAGCACTGCAGCATTTGAAAACCATTCTTTGGTTTAATTAAGGTATAGTATCAAAGGGCTGTAATGTTTCCAGATAATATCTACTTGTTAGGCAGATAACTGAAGCAGAGCCAAGGTTTTTAACAGCTCTACAGGAGTCCTTGATTACATGACTTCAGTTCTAGAACACAAAATACCTGAGGCGTGTGTCACCGGAGCGTTGCAGGTCTGATGAGTGTGACAGGCAGAGCTCAGAGACTGTCAGTTTGAGGCGTGTGAGCTGTGAGCTCAGTTCAGTCAGGTTCTCATGTGTGTCAGTAAAAAGCAATGCCCTGCTCTGGTACCTGCAGGACGGTGCTGCCTTGTCTGCCAAAGGAGCGGTTTGTATTAGAACCATTGCTGAAAGAGCAGCAGGGTTTAACGGCCTGGCTTCCTCTCCCCACTCTGCCCCCAGCTGCTGCTGGCTCTGCAGGACACTCTCTGCAATTTATCATCTCCTGAGAGATGAGTGTACTGAAATAGAATGACATAATCATAATTTCATTTTATGAGGCTTATCAGTTGCAGCGTTCTAGGCACCTTGCAAGCCTAAAGCCATTAAACCTGATAAAAATCACATAAATAATTTAAACTAAACCATGTTGCTGGGCTGCCAACCTCTGCAGATGAGGCTTCATGCTCAAGTGCCCCATGCCCCAGGCTGAGGTCAGCCAGACACCCAGCTCCTCTTTCAGAGCCCTGCTCTCTCAGCACCTTTCCAGCTGTACTGCTACATCCCCCACGCTGAGCATCCCACTGCACTCGTGCACATCCTGCTCTCCCTGCGAGGCTGGGAATTCCAAAATAAGGACTTGACAAGAAAATCAGTCCTTGCTCTGTCTTCACTGGAGTATCCACAGGGATTAAATTAGCAGGCAAGCTGTTGCAAAGGATGCTCCTCGAGGTGATGTGAGGTCAGAGCAGCCTCCAGTGCGCTCGCCTCGGACCAGACGGAGCAGTTCCAGGCTTCATGGTGGGTCAGGCTTTCCGTAGCCATTTCCGTCAGCCTCAGCTGAGCAGGAGGTGTTCTCAGTCCTTGGCTGAGTCATGTGACGTGACTGGGGAAGAAGCAGAAGAAAATTGTGCTAAACTGATTTTTCATGAGTCTCAGAAGAGAGGCTTTTTCTTTCTGTCTGCCCCAGCACTTGTTATCTTTGGCAGCGGTGCCTGCATGCAGGAGCTGTTTTCTGTCTCTCTGATTGCCAGGTCACGCTGTCAGTCCCGGTGGCTGCAGTCTAAACATGGATCTCCACAGATAAATTGTGTGTTCACAGCCCTTCTTGCCACCTTTGCACAAGCCTGAGAAAAGGGTTGGTGCAAGGAGAAAAATAAATCCCTTTAGGAAATAGTGCTGGCTCTTCAGTTACAGCTCGAACGATGAGTTCCTCTTGAGACTCCTAACAGGCTTAGAAATAAATGAATCCCTGAAAGGACACGTTGCCAACACTTTGTATAAATAACAGGTATTTGATGTGGCATGGTTCAGGAGCTTTATGAAGGGAGGCAGAAATAGGAGCACACAACACAGCCCTGCCCTTGTCTCTGCCTCTGGCCTTGGGGAAGGGGAGGTGTGTATAGGTTAAGGGGTTTTTTGGGTTTTTTTAAGCTGCTACACTGTGACTTTGAGAATTTTTTTGTGTAACAAAGACGTAGAGATTACTCAAATAGGAATTGTTCTGCTGGTCCCTAAATGCACCAGTTAAGCCTGCTCTGAAAGCCAGGTTTCCTCAGCATCCACTGCTGCTGTGTCCTGTGTATCTTGGTTCCCTTTGACCATCCAACAATTGCACAACTGTTTTAACAAGCATGTTTCAACCAGTCTTACACAAACATGCAGAGCTTTTCCTGGTGCGCTGTCAGTAATTCCCTGTCCTGTCTAATCCCAGGGACGGAGGCGTGGCCCCCAGGGGTTTGCCTGAAGTATGTCGGTGGAGACCAGTTTGGCCACGTGAACATGGTGATGGTGAGGTCCCTGGAGCCGCAGGAGATGGCTGATGTCAGTGTGCAGATGTGCAGCCCCAGCACCGCCGGGATGTATCAGGGACAGTGGCGGATGTGCACTGCCACGGGACTCTACTACGGAGGTGAGCAGCCCCTTCCCTGCCCACGGCCCCTCTGGGGACACCACAGACACAAAATGGAGCAGAGGGCAGAGGTCTGCCAGCCCTGGGCTTAAATACACAACACAGAGAGGAGGAAAACATCAAGAGAGCTGCTTTGTTGTCTTGGTCAGTGTTTTCTAAGCACTGGAACGAATTACAGATTACATAAAACTCTGGAAAACAAAGGGATGTGCACAGCTCTCATGGAGACTCTTTCCTGGTCGGTCCTTGTTGAGATTGTTTCCCAGTTTTCCATTGCTTGACTCTGTGAACTGCATATGAGCATAAAATAGTGGTGAAAGCCTCATGTGAGAAGTTAATGCCCAGGGTTTAAAGCAGTGATTTAGTGCATCCCCTGTGAGCTATTTCTCTGTTTAAAGAGCACATTTGGCTATTTTGCCTGGTGCTTCAGCCTGGGCCTCAAACATCTGCCTTCAGTGCAGCCTTCCCTCCCTTTTCTGCCAGCTTTAGTTTACACTGAGAACATCTTTGTGTCTCTGTTGGCAGCTGGGAGTATCCCAAGTTTCAGGGTTTGAGTGAGCTGTGTTGGCACATGGAGGCAAAAATACCAGTGCCAGAAGGAGGGGGCTGGCATTGCTGGCACTGCCATGCAGCTCCTCGTTGTCTGGAGGGGACACAGTGTGTCCCTGAGGGATATCCCCATGCAGGTGGGACAGCCTGTCCAGTTTGTGTTGCCGGTCCTGTATGCTCACAAAGCCGAGGGTTTCCCAGGGTTTCCAGAGGGTTCCAAGCCCTGGACAATGGGAGATGTCCCTGCATTGCCAGAAGTTGTCACTTTCGCCAGAACACGACCTGAAGATTGAACCCCTTTAGCCGCCAAGCTCTGAGTTCGAGTGACTCTTGCCCTGCAGCCGAGCTGGTGGCTTTGCTGGCGGCTGCCCCCAGGCGATCCCGGGGCCCGGACGTTCGTCCCGTTTTGGGACGGGGGCCCGGCGGTGCCACCCGGGGCGGGACCTGGGCCGCAAGGCCGTGAGAGAGCGGCAGAGGGCGCTGCGGGGCCGCTCCAGAGCCGCCTTTGGGGGGACGGGAATGGGGCTGTGCAGGGGGTCAGCGGTGGTTGTGTGTTCAGGGGTGTTCAGAGGGTCAGTGGTGGTTGTGCAGTACAATCCAATGGTATGTGTGTGTACAAGGATGAGTGGTGTGTGAATGCAGGGCTCAGTGGGGGTGTTTGTACAGTTTTCACTGGGGGGAGTTGTGCACGGGGGGAGTTAGTGGTGTGTAGTAGGGGTCCTGGCCCTAGCAGGGTGTGGAGTTCCCTAAGCAAGTCGTGTGCCCCTAAGGTGTAGAATCCCACTGTCCTCAATTGGCTCCTAAAATTCAAACTGCTGATCCCAGGCCTGTTAAACTGGGGGCACTGGAACCAGTACTGCTGAGGCTTTGTAAAAATGTGCTTTAAGCAATAAATCTTTTTCTTGCTAGTGTAAAGGATGGAACTCATTTGCTCTTTCTGCCCCTTCTTCATAAACTCCTATCTAGTGACAACCCAAACGTGTATCTTTCCACAGATGTCATCTGGGTGATCCTCAGCGTGGAAGTTGGAGGACTTCTGGGTGTCACACAGCAGCTGTCATCCTTTGAAACAGAGTTCAACACGCAGCCGCATCGCAAGGTAGAAGGAAACTTTAACCCATTCGCCTCTCCACAGAAGAACAGGCAACCAGATGAAAACAACCTAAAAGACCCTGGGGGTTCCGAGCTAGGCACAATCAGCAAAAACACATGGGGGCCTGCTCCTGACCAAATCGAACAAGATCAGAATGGACTGTCACAAAACTCTGTAAATCTCTCCCCCAGCAGTCACTCGAACAACTTGTCGGTAGTGACGTACAGTAAGGTAGGTGCCCTGGGCGAGCAGGAGAACGGGTAGGGGAGGAGCCTGGCAGGTGTGTAATTGCTCTTCCTTCCAAACTGCAAAGCCCTTTCCTTCTGCTTCTGCCAGACCTGCTAAGGAAGGTTCTGAATTTGACTGTCTGACTCTGCCAAGTCCTCATGTTATATTAAAATATTTTTTGCCTCTGATAGACTCTACCAGATCCACCTTTTTGTTTTTGCTTCAAGTCCTTCTTAAAATTTATATAACCTTGTTTGGGTGCTGTAACTGCAAGTGGCTGGAGCCTGCTCCAGTTGCGTGTGCAAATAAGTCAAAATATCTCTCTAGATGTGTCCTGAGTTTGACATAATTTTGAACAGACAACAAATAACCACACCCTCAAACTTCAGATTAGCCAGATAACTTCATTTAGCTGGTGTGGGGAGACTCCAGAGCACACCATTTGATCGCAGAAGCTGCCTGCAGGAACAGTCAATCAAAGGACCGTTCCTGTCTGTGTCCTTGTCTTGTTCATAATTGTAGGTGACTTTTAAATTATCTTTACTTTAAATCTCTCTCAAAAGCTTGCTTGGTGGATGCTATATGAGTCTGAGTGATATTTTGACTGTTTTTATTTGCTTGTGTGTGAAAAATGAATTGCAGGATTATTTACAATTCAGAATCCACCTGTTAATGCAGCAGTATGTGTAGGTGTGTACTGTCGTATGTCAAACTAGTTTGATTTTTTAAATCCTTTAAAAATGCTTTACTGTACTTTGAGCAGGCTGTGTAGGACAATAACACTTGGTTGCTGAATGACTTAATAAAGCCCTAATGTTAGTTCACCTACAGCACTTTAGTTCCTCCCTGGATGACCTGCCTGTCCTGTGCCAGTGGATCCTGTTTTAGTGACCTTTACCCCAGTGCATTTTTTATGGCTGGCATGTGTGGGGTGAGCCTGACTGCCCCCCCTTAGTGGTCCCAAACACCATCTCTGGGCTGGCTCCTGCTTGCCAGGCCCTGCTCATAGCAGTGGAGTGGATGGCTTGGGAAGTGATGAGCTGCTGGTGAAACACCACCTGAAGTGGCAGTGCTGAGAGTTGCTGCTGTAGTGGCTGCGTGCTGGGGTCATGGTGCTCCCCCAGGGGCTGGGCTGGGACTGCCTTGAGAGAACGTGGGTATGAGGAACCAGAGCCCCTGGCAAGGAGCAGCTGTGCTGTGGGAGAGAAGCCAGCAGGAGAGTGAAGCACCAGCTGAGAGGTGTCACAAGGTTGGAGTGAGCTGGTTTAGCTGGTAACCCAGAGCTCCGTGCTCTGAGAAAACGGGGGGGTTTATAACCTAACACCAAATGTAGGGCAGGTGACCTTTCCTCCCCTTTTTCCTTCTTTTGGGGTTGTTTGTTGTTTGTTTCTTTTTGTATTTACAGACTGTTCTTGGGTGGATTTGAGGTGGATTGTCTGAGATTAAAGCAGACATTTTGTTTGCTGGCTTCAGAGGGGACAACTTTATAGTCCCTTTTTTGCTTAGGGGTGGGGGATATGGAAAAGCTACTTGATTTTTGGGTGGTTTTTTTTTTCTCTACTGCAGTTCTTTTGTTTGTGACATACTAAGACAAATTATTTTATCCTTTGGAGGCTGTTCTGGTAGGTCTGAAGATCTGAGTCCTGTTCCAGCCTTGCCCATCCTGCCCAGAGCAGGAAGTTTTCTGCCACAGACCCAATATTCATATTGGTACAATACTGGTTCTATAGTAAACAAGTTTGAGGGAGTTGGACATCCCAGATGCCTGGTCTGGTTTGAAATGGTCAGGTGGACATTCACCCCATTCCCTGACCAGGCCTCTGGGAAAAGGAGATGCAGTTTTGTTTGATTTTTTCCCCTTTGTGTGCATGGTGTACCCAGCTGGAGATGCTGCTGGAGCAGCAAAGGGGTTATTAGAGGTGATGTCAGGAGTATTGAATTACCTGAGGAACAGATGGAGCTGCAGTTCCTGTTGGGAAAAGCTCTACCTGGCCCATCTTCTCCACATCCCCAGGGGATCTGACCTGTACTCTGCTGCTGCAGAGGAGAAGGAAAACTACTGCATTGGGACTTGCTGCCCTGTGACTGAATACTGATGTGAAAGGCTTTATTTCAGGTTCTAGAGCAGACAGAAGAGCACTGTGGGTTGCTTAGGCAGTGGCACAGACTCCAAGAATTCCTGGATTTTATTTATCTTGGGCAGGATCTCTGATATTTTTGTCTCCTTTCATGTACCTAGAAGAGGGAGGGAATCCCCAGGCCCTTTGGTGAGTGAAGGAGATGGTTCAGGTTTAGTTAAAGTGTTGAGAAGAGCCTGTGTCCTGTATTTAGAAGTAAAATAAACCTTTAAATATTTCTCAGCTGCCTGTGGAGGCTTCCTCTGCTGACAGACACTGGGGACACCCAGTCATGCAGTGCATGAGACCATGAAATCTTTGAGATAAAAGGAGCAGTTTCTGGCATCTGCAGGTGTAAAACATTCTCGAAGCTGCCAGACCTTGTCGGAATTAATTCTCCCTCTGGTGCACTGAGCAGGTGTGACTTGTCCTCCAGAGCTCCCCATTGGAGTCAGGATCGTGGCAACACCAACGTGCCATCTGCTGCTGGGTTAGACAAGTACAGCAGCACTTCACACCTGGAAACATTCAAAATGCTTTTATACACAGCAGAGTGGGTGGTTTGGGTGTCCTGGGGAAAAACAAACAAAACCAGACACAGAATTCCCTGTAAGTGGTTAAGATGAAACCTGTGGCATGGTTGGAGCAAGCTCTGTGCCCTTTATTCCTGCTATGGCACCCACCTCCCTGGGGCCCCCTGCCCACCATCCACACTCACTGTGGGGAGGCTGCAGGCCAGGGTCTGCCAGGGCTTTGCTTGAAGCATGTTGTTGTTAAATCTGTTCCCAGTGGAGTTTTTGCATGTTCTTAGATGTAAAGATGTGCCTAAGTGCAGGATAGGATGCCCAGAAATCCCCATGCACAGATACTTTATTCTCTGGCAGTCACTTTCTCTGGATTCTCCAGAGATCTGAGGCTGATACAGCTTTCTCCTATTTACTCCTGTCTCATAGCAACCCTGCACAGTCACTGCTGCTCTCTTGTGACTGGCTTTTCCATTAAAAGCCCAAGATCCAGTCTTACAGTGCCTGGGAATTAGAGTTTAATTGCTTAACTGAGGAAAGAAGTGTACACATTTCCATGTTTGAGAAGATCAGAAATGAATAGCCATATCCTGACCCTTAGATTGTACTTAACATCTCTGTATAAAATCCACAGATCTGTAGCTGAACCTGCTGCCCAGATGAAATGAGGAATCACTTCTCTCTATGTCATGCAGAAAACTGCACCTGGAGGTTGTGATTCTGCAAAGATTTGCCCAGACAGGACACTGAGCATCCTCCCCACCTAAGCAAATGGTGCCTGGCTGTCCTGGTCATTGCTTGTGCTGCTCTTCAAAGCCCAGTGAAATAGAAACATATTTGGAGTTCACAGCTTTAAAATCTGAACTCCTTTTTTCCTGCTGTGTTTATGCTCCCCATCTCCCTGTGTTCTGTGTGGAGTTGAGCTACTTGGCAGCTTTCTGTACATAAGGGGAAACCAACCCTGTGTCCTTGGAGCCTTGAACTGGCTTCCCCTCTTTGAGCTTAAATGTTGTTGCTGCTTCTAAAGCCATGCTTCTCCCAAACCAGGGCCTCCAATTTGCAGATTTTTGGAGTACCTCTGTAAACTATAGACAGAAATACTTTTACTGGAAACCGGGCATCAAACTGTCTTTATGCATGAGGATGATGCCCCAAAAATGTTTTGAAGCCCCTTCCATCCTGGTGTCTGGGCTTCACTCTGGGCTGGTCACCGTGTGGTTCCATCCATTTAGACACAGTGGGAGAAGGTTGGACTTGGAGCTCCCACAGCACTGCAGCCTGGCATGAGCTGGTTTCCCTCTCTAGTGAGAGACATTGGTGGTTTGGGTGCTGCATGTCAGCTCATCCGTGAAATCCATGTCCTTCCAGACTGTGGGAAGTGCCAGATAATCTGGTTTTAGCCTAACTTTACTCCACTGCAGCCCAGCAGAGTTGCCTGTTGTTTATCCCAGCAGCACATCAGGGAGTTGTGCATGGGAACTCAGGTACCTGAGCCCTGCCCCTCCTCACCCACAGGCACCTGACCCAGCCCTGCCAGTGCCTGCTCCCAGAAGGTCCTGAACTTCCTGGTGGTCTCCCAGCCACGCCATGTTTGCACAGCATGCATGGAATAAAACACAAGTGCTGGATGCTTTGTTCTCTGTTTGTGCTCAGTTTACGTAAGCGAGGCTGGAGCAGCGCGGGGTAGGAGCGGCCTGAGGGGATGGGGACCTGCAGCCTGGGCTGGGGCCACTGTCAGTGCCCACTGGGAGACTCCTGTATTGCTGTGCATCCACCTCCTGTCCCTGGAAGTGTACCTGCATTGCTGGTGACTCAGTCACAGAGGTGAAATAAAGAGCTGTCTGAAAGCCTGTGTGTGATGGTTTGTGAAAGATTCACTTAATCCTCGCTTTGTTCCCAGCACAGGTACCTCGGTTTGCAGAGCTCAGTATTCACAAAGGGTTTTAATTCACAAAACATCTCACTTCCTTTCTAGAGGCACGAGTCAAATGATAATTTATACCAATAGTTGTCATGCTTGGAAAATCACAGTCCTGTGCTTTCACACACTGCTCTGTGTGAAGAGCCAGTGCTCCCACCAGCAAGTGAGCAGTTACTTCTGGGGAACATTCTGGAAGAACTGAAAACAAGTTTGCAAAGCTGCAGCTGAGCTTTTCATAAAGACAGTGATCCCACTTGGAGGATAGATGGGAAGGCACCAAAAATACTGGGAATAATCCTTCCATTGAAACAACTTGGAAAAACTGCAATTATCTGCAGAATTATTTTTGCATGTTTGTGATGTAAAATGTTGCATGGAGAGGATAATTAGGCTTGAAAATCTCATACAGGGGTTTGGTATTTGCATTGCAGCAGTAATTGAAGTTTTCTGGTATCAAACCCTTACATTGTGCATGGTGACTAAATGTCATGGGACAGAGGAGGTGGAGTCACCTGCACAGGTCTGCACTAAAGCAGCTCTCACTCAGCTTAAAGATGCAAGTGGGGTTCAATTTTGCCAAGTTCTCATGTTCAGTAATGAATCTCAGATAGGTGCAATGCAGTGAAGAGTGGCAATTCCAAAAGGAAAGATTTGGGGCTTTTCCATGGTGAAATTCCTTGTGTCAGGAGGAGCTGACCATGGTCATGGCATTGCCAGGGGAGCTCATTCCTGGGTGGCAGGTGTTCAGTGCAGGGTGGCAGGTGCTGCAGAGCTGTACATGCTGAGGAATCTCTGGTGCTGAGCTAAACTCTGGGTTTAACTGACACAGTTTGCATAATTCCATAGCTTCAAATTAGGTGCTCCAGAAACCATTCTGTGGAGATCCAGAGGGTTTCCCTGCAAACCAGCTCACAGTGACTTCACAGGGTCTCTGCATCCAAAAGCACAAATGAGCTGCTCTGGTGTCAGACTGAGGGTGACTGGCAGTTCCTTACACAACAGGGGGATCCCAAATCCCCAAATTACAGCAAGCAAGTTTGTTTTGCCTCTGGCATCCTCCATGAGGTGACACAGGGTAAGGGTGGTCCCAGCAGAGGGGCAGGGGGTGGTTAAACCCCTCCTCAGCTCACCAGGCAGTGCCTCAAACAAAGCCTTGTGTGCAGGTAACTCAAAAGATGAAGCAAATTCTGGCAAATGTGTCTGTGCAGGAAATCAGCAGCAAATCCTGTTTTCCTTCTGCTGAGTGCTAAGCACAATAGCTGAATCCCTGTGAGGTGAGACTGCTTGGGATCCTGTCTATACATTGCTTTTCCTCTGTCCTTTTTTATGCACCATCTTAATGTTTCTCTCCTGCTTCTCCTCTTCCCCCTGTTTCAGTGAGTGTATTTTTGGAAATGTTGGATTTCTCAATCTCTGGATTTTGATGGGAGCATCTCCTTCCTCAGGTGAACTGTCATGCTGGAATCTGCTGGCTGTTCTCTTTTGAAAAGCCTTACAAACTGGCACTGCAGCATATTCCTGGGGTAGAAATGTGTTTGTTTTTCCATCACTTGCATGTATTTCTGTCTGCAAACAGCAATTTCCACGTTCCCAGTCTTTCATACTTCCCACGCAGTTCAGGAGATGTCCTGGTTAATTGTCTGCTGATCCTCCTCTTGGCTGGATTCTGAAAGCTGCTGAGAGCTGCTTCATTTTGCCATTTGCTTGTATTTACCACCTGATTATATCCCCAAGAATGAACTTTTTCTCTCCAGCTGTGGCAAGATTACAGACTGTTCATGGCCCTTCCTTCCCAGTCAGATCTGCAGCAGAGCTCTCCAGCCTGGGCTTTGCCAGTGACGCTGAGTCTTTACACAGTCCGTGTTCCTACTCATGGCTCCACAGCCCTGGCTCCTGCAGTGAGGGGGTTTGAAGTTGTAGAACAAGAAGGAAATGGTATTTCTTAGGAAATTTGCCCTGTTAAAGGCAGAGTGGTGAAAACTGAGGTCAGAACTTCCCATTCAGCCAGAACAGGAATGGTTTGGGCTCTCACTGCCTTAGCCAGAGTGTGCTGGGAAGAGCTGGACTGTGTTTAGAAGCATTTGCATAATGATCTTCCAGCTCTGCCATGAGATATAACAAGTTTTTCTCCCTCATCTCCCTCTTGACCTCAGTGTCTGTCTGGGTTTGTGTGGGGGTTGTACTGACAAACTTCATCTGCTGTGAGCTGGGGCATCCCTTGCTGCCTGTTGGTCTTTCTTCTGCTTCCTGATGAAACCCCAGATAACTGATCTGACAATAGAAGTTACAAAAGGAGTTCCTGTTAATTTGAGACCTGTGACTACATCTGACATTTAGTGACTCACTTCAGGATGTAAAGGAGGGAAATGGATTCTCTAGGAAGCATTTTGGGGGTTTTGGTAAATGCTCAGGTTGATTCACTGGAGGAAAATGTGCATTGTCACTTGAGGAGGCACACATGGCACTTGTGGGAATGTAGATTTTTTTTTTTTCTTTGGGTTTTTTCCTGGCATAGCCTCTTACCCAGTTACAGCCCCATGTCTGTGGGACAGACTGGGGAGGCTGCAGGGGCTGGGCCTGCAGGTGTTATAGCATCTATAGGAAATGTTGGTGTAGAAAACACAAGTTATTTTGTGGCCTTGGCCTAAAAAACACTTGACAGAGGTAAGTGGTGGCATCTGCCCTCTCTGGGGAAGCCAACCCTGGAGCGTGTGCTTTCAGTGTCCTTGGAGCCACAGTGGGGTTGGTGGGAAGCCCTGGGCTGAGCTGGGCACTCTTTGGAGCTGAGCACTGAGCATTTTGTTTCTTGCCTGTTGAAAATTGATTATGTCTCCAACTTTCTTTCAGGGTTTCCACGGTCCTTATCACTTCGGACAGTCTTAAAACACAAAAACACAAAACGGGTATCGACAAGAGGAGAATTTAAGAAAAAGCTGACTTTTGGGGGAAGGGAGGGGGATTCATGTGGCAGACAGACACAGCGTGGACCCCCCTTCTCTGCCTCCGTGTTCTGGAAAAGAAGAAAAAACAAAAGCCCAGTAATTTAAGACTTAGCTGTTTCCAGAGGAAAATCCAAAACCTGAGTATGCATGTGTGACTGCTGGATTTCAGAGTGGTGTAAATGCTATGAGGAAGAAGAGACACCAACACTATGGGTTTTTAGAAATCATCTTCACATGTAATTAGGTAGCTTAAAAAGAAGTTTAAAAATGAAAATTTAAAAGCCATCTTTAAAAAAAGAATATTTTGCCTACAGAGCGGTTGTAGTTTGAGCAAATGTTTAATTTCTGTTTGTTTCTTGTTCTTTTTTTTTTTGTTTTTTTTTCCTAAGGGACAGCGTGCATTTTCCCAGAGTGTCCTGGTTTGCTGCTGAACAGGACTGGCTCAGCACCTGCTGGGGTTTGTGCAGGGACTGCTTCTGTCAGGCTTTTTTAATGCCAGGTTGGGTCTGCACCCAGCACTGCGTTTTTAACAGCATCTGCTGGTTTTAGTTACCAACTTTTTATTCTTTTATTTCCTCTTTTCCTTTTGGTTTGGGTGTTGCTTTTAAGTTGTCCTGCGTGTCGTTGGGAGCCACGTTATGGACAGGTCTTGGTATCAGAATTGGAGAGGGAGACACTGGGACTTCTGGGATAGGAGGGCTCATCTCCCTTCCCTCTTGTACATGAAGTACACAAATACACACCCATGTTGATAAGAAACTGATT